ATTAATTATAAAAAATTTGTAAAAATTGTGAAATAAATAAATAATTTTACAAAAATTTGGCGCACAACGTGAGACGGTTACAATTATGTACATATATAAGATACAAATGTTTTGTTGCTATGGGAACAAATAAACAAACATAAGAAACGTGATGATAATATTTTGTTTTTAGTAATTTTATTACATCAAGTAAAGTTTTAGTAAATATAAAAGAAAAAATATAATTGATAAATTTATGTGTGTCATCAAAACAATTAATTGCAACTTTTATTTTATCTGCATTGAATTAATTACTAAAAACGTTGTGAAAAAAGTGTAAATTATCAAATTTCATAGTTTTTTAAACGTTTGTTAAATGATTCAAACGCGTAATTTAATAGTAAATATTATGTCTGTACAAGAAGTGAAGAAATATATTTGTGTATAAAATTGTAACAAAAAAATTGTAATCTAAAAATAGAACAGAACAGAAAATTGAGAAATTTGTGCTGAATAACCGTTACGAGCGAAAAATCTCGACGATTATTATTCGTAAACTACGTTTATCTCTCTGCTTTCATGCGCTAATCTCGTTATTGCGTTACATACACACGCTAGAATGTGTTTTGCTCGATGTTCAATTAAAATTATTGGATTGCCACGCTTCTGCAGCAAGACATTGGTCATTTTGTAACTGAAACAAAACAGGTGTCATTCGTAACTCATTACCTGACGCTCGATTATAGTCCAAGGGCTCCTTAAATGTAAAAATACTACCGAGATAGAACGAATATAAATAGACGCCATCTATTGGTTGGAAAACTTAATTAAAGTCATGTTTAGTAATTATTTATTGAAACAAGAACAATCTCTTTAAAGCAAAATCTAATATTGATACAAAAACGCCTAAAAATTATGCACCAACCCAATAGAAATGTAAAAGATACAATTAATGTTAATTAATAATGTAGATTTGTAAAATATAAATATCTATTTGTTATTTACTTACAAAAGTCATCCAGTAAATCACGTCTTAGCTTATTAAAATTAAATTAATGAAGTTTTTTTTTTAACATTTTAGTTTTTACATAAAACTAGTTGATTTAGCACAAAAGTAAATTTTAAGAATCAAATGACAATGATAAGTTAACGAATTTAAATAATAGTTAATTTTAATTATTATAATTTTCACATTTTTTATATAATTTCTACTACTTTTTTTAAACATTTGTATTCAAAAAGTAAAAAAAAAAAGGGAAAAATCTACGTTTTAATTGAACAACTGTATAACACCTGCGTGAACACCTGCATGAACACCTACGTTTTAATTGAACAACTGAATAACACCTGCATAAACACCTACTTTTAATTGAACAACTATATAACACCTGCATAAACACTTACGGTTTAATTGAACAACTATATAACACCTGCGTGAACACCTACTGTTTAATTGAACAATTATATAACACCTGCATGATCACCTACGGTTTAATTGAACAACTATATAACACCTGCATGAACACCTACGTTTTAATTGAACAACTATATAACACCTGCATAAACAGTTACGGTTTAATTGAACAATTATATAACACCTGCATGAACACCTACGGTTTAATTGAACAACTATATAACACCTGCGTGAACATCTCCATGAAAACCTGCGTTTACTTGAACACCTGAGTTTTATTTTTTTCTTCACTTAAAACACAGAAACTTATTAGAATTTATATAAATTAAACAACATAAACGATTGTGATATGTGTAAATTGTCGTAATACGTATTAAAGAAAGTTCAATGTCAATTAATGATAAATATTCCATATATATATTTATAAAATTTTCTAAACAATTTTTTAGTATTAAATATTTTAAGTTTTTTTTTATAGTGGACAATTTAAAAAGCAAATGGTGATAGCCAATTAGAAAAGAAAAACCGCCTAAAATATAAAGAATTTAATTAATGTATTCAAAGAAAAAATATGTTTATTAGCCAATTGAAATAGAAAAATCACCTAAAATATAGAGAATTTAATCGATTAATTAAGTTCATTAAAAAAATGGTTGATAGCCAAATTAAAAGAAAAATTACATAAAATATACAGAATTTAATCGATACATTTATTAAGTAATTAATAAACATAACATTGATGTGTTAGCAAACATTACGTTATCATGAAAATTCACATTAATAATATTAATATTAATCGCATTAGCGATAGTAAACAGATAAAGTGTAAATCAATAACAAAATTTGGCTGTTATCGTCGAGGACTTTCCTTCATTAACGTGTAGTAAACACAAAAAGGAGGTATAATAAAATGCGCACGTTCGTACATTTCGGTCATTTCGCAGCAAATTTATACAATCCGAGCGTCGTTTCTTTTGTGCCTTAATTTCTTCGTAAACACAATCAATTTCGCTCGTCTTCACGGCCAATTAATTTAGCGAAAAAAGCAACAATGCACAAATAAACGTTTGTAGCCGCAACAACAGATGCAACTTCTTTATTGCTTCAATAACCTAAGGAAGAGGCTGCTTTAAAGCTACGTTTTTAAACGTGAAAATGTCAACTTTAAATGTTAAAGTATCATAAACAAAAGTGTATTTCAAATTTGAGGTTAGGTAATTTAAGATTAGGTTACGTTAGTTTATATTAGGTTAGGAAAATTTAGGTTAGGTTACATATTATTTAATTTGTTCCAATGTTTTCAAATGCGACATCTATGATTTTTATTGTGTTACAATATAACCGTATACAGGGTCGTAAAATGAAACTTTTCGTATTTTATATTAGGGTTAGGTAAGTATAGGTTATGTTATATATTAATGAAGTCCTTCAAACGTTTAAATATGCGACATGTATGGTTTTATTCTATGTGTACATTGCAATTATACAAGGTCGTAAAATGAAACTCTTGACATTTTAGATCAAGTTAGGTAAGTTTTGGTTAAGTTACATATTTGTATTAGTTAAATATGATTTTACTATAAGGCTACCTTGTAATTAAACAGGGTCGTAAAATGAAACTTTTGATATTGAAAGAAATCCTCATTTTACAATCATATCTTCAAATTTATATTGTCATTCTTTACAAAATCCATCAATAATTGTTACTGTAGAAAGTCGTAAAACGGGACCTGCATTCAATTTATTTAATTAATAGACTCTAGTAGATTCTTGCGATCTATATAAATCGAATATGCAATATTATTTATATTTAAAATGTGTAAGTTTTCAGTGATCTCTAAATATATACGCAAAATTACTTTCATCTATTTATACGCAGTATTTTAAAATCCCATTCGCGAGAGGACGGAGTGTCAGTATATTTAGATTTTCGGTAAATAGAATATAAAAGTCCAGTGCATAGCATTACAGAAAAAAAAAACTAGTATGCAAATTAAAGTAGTAGTAATAAGATTGATTTACTAATATCGAATTTGTTTTAAACAGACTTTGTTTTTGTAATAAGTTTTAATATTCGTAGCGTTACAGATTGATATGAAGAAGACAATGTGTTGTATAATTTGAATAAACAGCAGTATTTTCAGGTATAGATCAATACGACATCTATGAACTAATTATTATAACTTTTGACATTTGACGTTGTCAGAATAAGATGTGACATCTATAAATAAATTTGTTAAAAACTATGCAAATAAGGTCTCTTTTTACGACTTTTTTTTATTAAAGCTTTTTTCAAAATCATTTACTAATTGACAAATAGAAAATTACATAAAGATTAAATTTTCGGCGTTTCTGGAAAATTCATTTTACGACCTTGTTTTCAGGAATATAATAAGGTTGAGAGAAGGAAGAGAATAAAAAAAAATGCAGATTTTTATTAATGATTTAAGAGATGATGAGCACTAATAGACTTTGTATATAATAAAGTATAAATATTTGAAGAGCATAAATTGCGGACAGCTGTATTAATTACACCATAAAATTAAACATATTTTCCATCGCTGAAATATAGAATCCTCATAGTTACTTGCATATGTACAAGTACTTTGACATTATGAATAATGCGTGAAGTTAATACTCTTGAGGTCAATACTCTATCACCACGGAAACGCATAGCTTTTTTTTGTGTGTATGTATACAGATTTCAATTGTTTCTCGTGCGCAAAAGTGCGTCCTTCGGGGTTAGTACGCGTCGAAATTATAAATATTTGTAGTGCGGAGCGTGCACATCGAAAATAATTTGCAATAAATTTGGAAACAAATACTTTGGCAACGATCCAGAAACTTCACGTCGATTCACACACCGTGTTCCTCTTCCTCTCGCACCGGAGGAGGTCCATCGTCATCATCGCCGCGTTAATTAATATATGAACAGCTCAAAGAAGAAAGACAAATGAAGATCAGAGAGTGGGTGGAAACAAATGCATTCGGGAATAGTGCATTTGTTTTTTCGAAAATAACACGTGCGATCTCAGTGAATGACGAAGAGGATTTGTTTCAATGCAATTTTTATACATGTCGGTTCTTTGCATTTAGATCTTCACTGTTGTAGTAAATTCTTCAAATTAAAGATATTTCATATCCTTTTGAATTAAAATCTTTTTGTATCAACATTATTAAATAAATTGTAGGAAACATTATTGTTTTTACATAAACTCTTCCAAAAGTTAAACAATTTTTAACTTTCGTATTAAAAAAACAACGATTTCCTCCCTTTGACATAAGGTGACAGCTGTCTTTTCGCAACCCCATATGTTGACAAACGCTACCTTACTATCTTTCTCAACCTTTTAAATTTTAATGCGTCACAAAATGACAGCTGTCACCATGTGTCAAAGGGTGTACAAATACATATGGACAAATAAATAATATTTTTTAACAATTAAACTACGAACTTTTATTATAATAAAATTGTTATAAAATGAAGAAACAAAAACAAAGACACGATAAAATATGTATGGAATGAAGGAACAATATTAAAAAAAAAAAGATAATTATATAACATTAAAATAAGAGTTTTAATAAAAATCTACGAATCTCAGTTTTTGTCTTGTAATTGTAGAGGATGAATAAATAGTAATGATAATTTAACGATAAAACCACGAACTTTTATTACAATAAAAATGTAAAATGAAGAAATAGGACAAAGAAACGGTAATGGATTTTGTCTTTTCTGAGGATGAATAAACGGCAGAGTTAGATAATATACATGTATATTTTTGTTTATCCCTGAACAATCTCGGACCCTAAATGAGTGTGAATCATCGACGATTCAGAGAAGTAGTACGAATTACAGACGAGAGAGCAAAGAAGAGGGAAAAAAAAACCTGAGTAGAAGGAAATAAATAAATGAAAAGGTCTGGTCGTGCGAGAGCCAAATCCCCAGCCAAATACATTTTTAGAAAATTATTATGAAATTACACGCGCCTCTCCGTGACTCTCTCTCTCCGCTCTCCTGTCTAGTCTGCAAATACATCTACCCAAAAAAAATAATATTTGATCCCTTCTCTCCGCAAAAGTTAGTTCGAATTAATCATTTCGCAATTCTTCATACAATTACCTCTACCAAAAATTGAATGCCTTCAAAAGTTCTTGCGTCTTCGGAATCCTTTCAATTCAAATTAATCATTTCGCATCTTTTAATTACGTTCGTTAATTCTGGCTGTCCCTTCATTTGCGGCTGGAAAAAAAAGCAAGAATAGTTTTAAATATTTTCAGTTTGATTTATGTAAATTGTTTAACATGATTCCTTTTGATTTTGATGAACGAACATTACTGTTAATGTGTTTTGAAGAAAGAGAATGAAACAAAGAAAAGAAGGCTTAGAATGTATATAAATTTATAACGAACCATTACGTAAATGTGCGTGGGCAAGGACCGGTGCAGCAAGGAATTCAAGTGCTCTTGTCTTAAAGATGGGCCGTCTGTACTATTTTCAGGCACGCTCAGGACTAGCCTAGGCAATGACACACTGCCCGCTATTAACGGATACAGGTTGTACTTGAGCTTCCTCCTGTCGCCTGGTAAAATCGTCGTCTGGAACTGAAACACGAAGAGAAGAAAACATAGTCGTTTTATTTTTTCTTTTATAAAAAAAAAATCAACAACAATTGGGTGAAAAAAAAACAGGGGATCAACTTTCCTACCGGTTAGATAATATCGGTTTAAAAATGTGGAAAAAACTGGAGCAACGAGCGAAAACAAGTAGAAATAAAAATATACACGCGCAAGCGGAGAAAATGAAACACTTGTATATATATAAAAAAAACATGTACATAAATAAATAACGTTTGAAACGGTGTCAAAGCAATTTTTTAAATAAATTGGATGACAAAATCAGGCATGTTTCGTTTCAAAGCTTCGAACATCTTTGAAATTCTACCGCGTTTCTCTTCTTTATTTTTTTTTGTATAAATTTAAAACCCACGACAAAGTGCAAATGTTCGCGACAGTCAAAAAACACAGCTCCTCGCATTACTTTCACAGAATTACTCAAATTTATCGTTCTGATTACGGAAGAATGGTAAATATTACAAATTTGTCTCTAAATCCATTGGAAAGGCCGAAGTTTTGTAATTAATTTGCATATTTGATGATGTAATCAGCGTGCGTGGTTATCGAGTAATTAGATAAAACGTAATTTATCAAATTTAATTGGTGCTTATTAATTAAACTTTTCCAAAAAAAACTAAAATTATGAAAATTTTATAACGCAACGATTGATAACCATAACAAAAACTGAATATGAGAGAATAATAATAATCAATGTGGATTTTCGTAAAGGAAAACGTAAACTCTCTGCGATTCTCGCAGGAAAAAAATAATAAATAAACATTAAATCATACGGGAGATGGCGAAATGTTTTTAAAATATTTACAGAGGTCGGGTAACGGATTTATGGAGGCTTTTGTCTTCGCCTAGAACGAGTATTCTCACCTGCTTGTGACCGGCAAACATGAAAGCCTCGCTTCCTTCGACGCTCACGTCCAGTTGGATGAGATGATGCGATTTGTTCTTCAGCTGGTATTCGACCAGAAGAGGAGTCCGGACCAATCCGTAAGCTGGAAGAGATACGCTCAGGTCCAGAGGGATGAAATCGACGATCAATCCGTTGATGGGTATCTTCGTGATCGTACTCTCGCCATTCGCACTGTAATCAATAAAAACTGCATCAGTAATGAAGAAATATAAGACTGATAAATATATATTTCATTAAAATAGTTAAGCAAAGTGCGTCGCGAATGGGTGACCATTAATTTAGTAAAACACGTACACTGAGAAACTCAATTGGCTATGGTAGTCATGGATACTAATAATATTCTGTATGTTATATTTGCTATAGTCACAAATCCTAAGCTGTATACTTGTGAAATATATTCAAATTACACTTGACAAGTACAATAAGAAATGCAAAACAGTAGTCGTGGATACTTACACTACGCAATACATTTTACATTAGTATAGTTAAGCAAAGTACGTTGCGAATGGGTGACCATCAATTTAGTAAAACACTTGACACGTACATCGAGAAACTTAATTGGCTATGGTAGTCATGGATACTATTAATATTCTGTATATTATATTTACTATAGTAACAAATCCCAAGCTGCATACTTGTCAAGTATGTTCACATTACACTTGACAAGTACAATGAGAAATGCAAAACAGAAGTCGTGGATACTTACACTACGCAATACTTGACAGATTACTTGAGAATTATTTTGCTAAATTTTACATTAAATAAAATTTGAAAATAAACAGTTTTGGGATGATGATGATACAAATTCGGAAAGATAAAAATACAGTTACCCAATAGTTAACGTGATTCCACGACAATAATGTAGAAATGTACATTTTTCTTTAGTATAGTTAAGCAAAGTACGTTGCGAATGGGTGACCATCAATTTACTAAAACACTTGACATGTACATTGAGAAACTCAATTGACTATGATAGTCATGGATACTAATAATATTCTGTATATTATATTTACTGTAGTAACAAATCCTAAGCTGTATACTTGCCAAGTATATTTACATTACACGTGACAAGTAAAATGAGAAAAGCAATACTTGAGAACTATTTTGCGAAATTTTTCATTAAATAAAATGTGGAAATAAAAACAGATTTGGAATGATGATGATGGTACAAATTCCGAAAGATAAAAATACAGTTTATACAAATGTGTGGACATGTCAACGGTGTATCGGCAATAAAAATGATATTTATGTAATAAACAAGTAGGTTTACAAAATAAAGTTGCGGTAGGATTTAAAAATAGGTGCAAATATTTAGAAATTTAATATATATATATATATATAAAAATACACAAGCACACACACAATGCAGGATCAAAGATCATAAGGGTCATCGTCCTTTAGTTATTGTACTTTATCATTGTTGTATTCGCTAAAAAATAATTGAAAATGTGAAATAACTTGTTTGCATATGTAACCAAAATTCTTTTGGACATAACACAAATGTAATAATGCTCAAGTACAAAGATGTATGCGAATATTTCGCATGATTTACTACAGACGTAAAATATTGCTCTCTCAAAGCTGTGTTTGTTTTTAGTAGTTCTCTGCATATATTTTTTTTGTTTAAATTTAATTTTAGCGCAAAGATAATATATTTCCAATACGTTTGTCTGTAATTACAACTTATTGCATAATTCATTTACTTTCTTTTTCAAAAACAAGACTTTTTTAATTTTATACATTAACTTGTAATATTTTCATACTTTTCATAATTACATAAGAAGTGGTCTTTTATTTAATGTAATTATCGAGATATGGCGATTTTTCGATAATTTTCAGGACCTCACGTTTTATTTAATTACAAGATAACTAGGAAAATCAATTGGATTACCAAATATGAACAACTTTGGCAAAACTTTGGGCTTTTCAATGAGCCTACATACAGATTTAAGGTGATTACCGTTTTCCTGTAGTTCACGGATGAAATCTTTCGAAAATAATATATAGTAATGTGTACATTTGGTTGCATATATTACAATATTTGTTTACTTTTAATTACACATTTTTAGACCTTTATTTCCTTGTTTTGATATAAAAATATAGTAAATAATATTAATTTATAACAGAGATTTAGATTGTTTTACAAAAATAAAGATTTTTTTGTATTTTTTTTTACATCTATTGCGGTTCTTCTATGATAAGTATTGTTACCAAATATTAATTAATGACCGAGATATGGCGATTCTTCAATAACTTTTGACGTTTAATCAGAATTATCACCCATCCTCATGTTTAACTTTAGTTATCTGTTATTTTTAAATAAATTTGTAACATAAGACTTACCGTTTCCAATGTATGGTGTAGTTACCAATCAGGATTGGTGAATCGCTAACTTTGCTGGTATTGGCCATGTAAATCTCTGAAGCGGTTTCCCCATTGGACACCTCGCATCCAATCAGCTGACTAGATATGCTCACATCCTCGTTATGAACGTTATCATGCTACAAAACCAATCCAAAACATAAAAAAAAACATTGCGAATGCTAAAACATTCTTACATAATCTAATTCGGTGTTCTCAATAACCAAAGGCCACGGTGAAAGACAATTTATGATTGGCATAATAACGAAAGTCTCATCGACGTAATGCTTGATCAGCTCTTCGAAGTGCGTGGTGAGGATCTTCGTGGAGAAATCGAAGGGTTTTACGACTGAGACGTGAATGAATTCCTCCATGGAACTTGGTATAAGATCGTCGTTGTGTAGATTAAAGGAAACATTGACTTGCAAATTCCTCTCGCCGGTGGTGAAGGCTCTCATGTAGAGAACAGTAACGCATTGATCGCTAGGACTAATATCGCCTAGACTCACCTTGATAGGAAGTTTCTCCAATTCATTATCCAAGCTCATCTGCTTGAATTCCGCTGCACAAAACAAACCACAAATCATTCAACTTGTAACTCGAAATTTACACTAAGATTACTTGTATCTGATACATCATCATCTTGAAGGCTGATCTCGAAGATCAAATTGTTGACCTGATAATCCCGGGAATCAGCAAGATTAATCCTAATCTTATACCATTCTCCAACTAAAGCTGGTTTTGCGTGCTCGAAATGCATCGCCAATTTGGAATGTCTTGGAACGACGCTGCACTTCAGCAAAGCTTTGATGTTATCGAAATCGATCGACTCGCAGTTGCGGAAATGCACCAATTCCATTGGAATAGATTTAATATCGTTCCCCAAACCATTAAACTGCAAATCGAAGAGCGGATTTTGCATGTGACCCAAGTACAGATGAACCGAAGAGATCTCCAACTCTTTATTAATATCCGCCGGATTCGGTTTATACTCGATGATGAAGCGTTTCACTTGACCGGCGGCGAAGCAAAAGTCCTGATTTGTAGTAGTCTCCACGCAAATCTCCGTGTTTTTAACGTAGTTTTCCAACGAGATGGAAATACCGAGAAGAGTGATTTGAAAATCGGACGAATTCCGAACGAGTATCTCGATGATCACGAGTCCATCGACTTGGTACTTCTCTTCCTGAAATCTCACCTTGCAATCGAGGCACGAAACGATGTTGTTCATTTCCAACTTGTACGTTTGCGGTGCTTCGCCGAGGAGGTTTTTCCAGAGAACGCGCGATTTCTTGATCTCAGGAAGGATTACGATTGCTTCCGGGCATTGTTTGCGGAAGACGCTGTTCAGGTTTTCGAAGATCTGAAGCTTTTGCGATTTGGGTAGCGTGGATTTACTGCCGAGGAGTTCCAAGGTGAAGATCACGTAATCGTCGATGCGAGCCGTGAGGAAGGCGCACTGCAGAGCTTTGTACAGGATGTGTGAAAGCAACGACCACCAGCATTCGGAACGATAATCCCATAGCATATGAGAAAACAATCTGAAATCGAAGTTTTGTAAGTTTTTGCTTAAAGGAAATCAATGTTCTTTAACTGACGTTAATGCTTTGCCGTAGTCTCCGGAATTGTAGTATTCATCGGCCATCTGGACAACCAAAAATCGTCTAGTTCTTGGACATCTGTACGTCTTGAACTGGGCAACAGCGAGTCCGTACAGCGTTATGATAATGATCGAATGATTCACTTGATTCTCCAAGAACTGTAGCGCTTTGATACCGTTCCATTCGACCTGAGGATCCGGAGGATCGGACGTCATCTTGCCGGGTCTCCACGGTCTTTGACCGTAAAAGTCCATTGTTGCGATACCTTCGAGCGGATCAGGAAGCGGATATACATTTGAGCCCTAAATACACATCAACAATACCATCAAAAATTGCGGATCACAGATAGTCAACATCACGTCATTTTTGACAACTAATTAAAGTGGATACTACTTACAAGTTACGCGATACTTGACAAGTTAATTATTGCGTTGATCACCACCTAAATTACCTTACATAAATCCTCACACGCCTTCTTTCTTAGTGTAGCATGATGAACGGCTTGTTGGTAGTAAAGACCAGGATGCTGCGTCTGCACGGCCGGAAGACCGAGCTTAACAGCCTCGTCGAAGATATCCCCAAATACTTGATTCCTTCAATTAGACAAAATCATCATTAAATCATCTTCAAGATCCAGTCAATAAACATACTGCAAAGCCATCCACGCGTGATGCTCGAAGGACAACTCCTGAAAACCGTAGCGCGTCTTGAAGCGTTCCGTGTGCGCTTTGAACTGCGAAATTGCATCCCTCGGTAAATTCAAAGAGAACATCAGCCTGCAAAGCTTGTAATTAATAAATCCTGCGACGGTCCTGATCTCCATAGCGTTCGTATCCACGATTCTAATCTCCAGTAAATTGTTGTAGGCGTGCGTGTAATGTCTGCAATACAAACATTAAAATGAGCATTTCAATACTATTTAAGAGCATACTTGTGAGCTCCATGCAAATCCTGCTTCAGCTCGCTCAGGAATCCCATCTTGAACTGATGACGAACGAAGAGGTATTGATGCGTCTGCTTCTGCAGATGCTCCCTGTGACTTTTCACGTTTCTAATCTCGGTGTGGTAATAGTTCTGTGCCAAATCGTTGAAGGCACCGGCCAGACGTGTTGCGTATCCTTGAAGATGATCTCCATGTGGAAGGACGAAGAGCGAGTTCGGGTTCAATTCGCAGCTGGTGCAAAGAGCGTTCACCCTCTCTGTTTGATGGGAATCGTCGTCTCCTGGGTTAACGCTGTGATTCTGTATCAGAACCACTGATAACTTTGTATTCCTTCCTTCCAATGCAACACTATTATACAAAGAAAAAGTTACAACTTGTTACAAAAATACAAAATATGCAATTTCTTCATTTATATAATATCAACATAATCAAATAAGATTATATAGGTTGGTCCACACTATCCATCATTTGATACCTGAAATTATGTCAGGTGTACCAACAATAATATTGTTTTAACTTAGTTATTGGTTTCCAAAGATTCAAATGTGTAGAAAAATGTACCAACTTTGGTTTTAAGTATCAATTACAAAAAAGACAATCTTCAATTAGAACTTAATCAAGTAAGATCTCTTACCGAATGCTCTGCACTCTTGAAGCACACTCAATCATCTTCTCATTCCACTGAGGATCATTCCAATCCAGATCATAGAAAATGACCATAACAGCAGGTATCTTATTGAGATGTTTCTCCATCCAATTCTTCTTCAAGATCCCTTTAGGAATGTACCATTCATATGAATTCCTCTTCGGCTTGACCACAGGAAACTCATAAGCATTATCAATGAGTTTATAGTTGAGTCCAGAAACATCAGTCTTCGTATTACCAAAAACATCCCAAATACTTTTGTGGGTGGCATTGTTCCTAGTATCCAACCCACTTATCCCAACCAAAGACAGAGGTTTCGCGCACAGTTCCGGAGGAAACGCGTGCTGATCCGGAATAACGTTCTGCATCTTCGAGCTCAATTCTCTATAAGTTTTACTTAAACATAACTTATTTGCAGAGATCCCTGTGGAACAACCCAAGTGACATTTGAAACATCTGATGGATCCACAACAATGCTGAAGTTAGCTACGATCTTAACTCACCATCACCAAAAGTCCCTAAGAACTTCAATTATTTCTACTTCAATATCGATTTATTCTTAGTTTTAGCAAAGATTTCCATTAAATAAACGAATGTTTATTGAGTATTAAGTAAGTAAATAAGTTCGAAACAGTTGCGAATATTTTTTTTTACTAAATAAATTTTTACGTAGTTGGCCGAAATCCATGCGGTTGTTCGTGGTGACATTTTCCATTGGCTTAATGCAATATTGAGAAATGTGATCTACATGTGCTGAAGAACTGCGACTAAATTCAGAAAATTAGAATTATTTCAGTGAGAAACGACGGAAAAGTCTTTATTTTAGTTAATATTAGTTATTTATTACGTGAGTATTCCAAAAAAAGCAAACTTAATCCCAATTTTATGTTAAATATTAAATAATTTTTTTTTTGTGACTCATTTAGAACAGATAGAATGTCGGTGTTTGCGAGGAAGAGAGCCTCTGTGGGGCGGAAGTACACTTCTACGAGTACTTCGAGTAATGTGCAATTCAGTATACCGAATAAAGGTAACCTGCAGGGTATCTTCGAGAACTATTTGGATAGGACTGACACCAAGGATTATGAAACTCTTCTGCTGATGATGAGAGATTACCAACTTAGCGATGAGAACATCATCACTTTGTTGACAGAGGCCACGATGTGTGTGTCCGTTTTGAATGAGGAGCTCCAGCTGTTCATTGAGGCAACATTGAAACTGGATTGGACCACGAGAAGTCCTGGTGTGATATGCATGTTTCAGAGTTTTCTACATGCTTTAATGACTGTGCACAATTGCCACATCAAGTTTATTATTAATAATTTAGTTAAACACTTTATAACAGAAGATAATGTGCAGGAATGGGTGGATAATGAACCCACGAAAGCAGAATCAATCAAATATGATTGTATCCACCATGTCTTTAATATTATGTTAAAAATGTTCCCAATGTAAGTGTGAATTTTATTCCTTGATTTGTGGATAATTAATAATATTGGTTTTCAGGATCAAAGAGGATATATTTTTAGAATTAGTTAGCCAATTCCCTTACATCAACAAGACTGCGCACAACTTTGAAGTGTACCTCTACAATTTGTTAAGGATTGTGGATTACTCTCCACCTTTTAGGCAAGACATCTTGAGGTTGATATTCTCTAAGTAAGTGTAACAGAAATTAATCTTAAGAATCTATTGATTGTATTGTTTATTTACTTTAGATTAGTTTTAATGGACGCTCACGCTCCGAAAGAGGAGATTTCTCGATTGGAAGAGGAAGAGGACGTTTTTGAAATGGATGAGAAGACCGAAATGAGACTGCCCTTAGCCCATGCACTTGATGTCAGCATGAAAATGATCTTCGACAACTTCGAAACCATATGCTGTACACCAGAAACGAAGCAACTCGACTGGGAGAAAGCTAAAGGTAATATAATTAATCATCTCACCTAAATTGTTTGTTCCGTTACATTGTCTACCGGAAATATCTTTGTTTTATTATCTATATGTATGGGATTTAGCCACAAGCACTGCGACATGTGGATAAATCGAGTTTTTAATTTGATACACTGCTTTAAGATTAAGAGCGAAGTATATGATATGCCTTACGAGATCTCTCGTTTTTTCGGCAGAACTGACTGAAATGTAATAATCACTTGAAGAAGATTGATCTGATGAAACACGACACACCCGTGGGGGGATGCGAAACCGATTCTCGATCAGTTGATGATCAATTCCCAGAGGTCTGTATATGGTCTGAATATTTTGTTACGAAACGATGTTTTTGTGTAGTTTGTCTACCGATGGAGACGCGCGACGATTGTTTCCGTTCATCTCTGAACTGATGATGCGTTTTGCATGTTTGTTGATCTCGATTTATTTAGGTAGGTGTAAACGAGATCGAAACGTTGCATTTAGCGGCGGGAGCAGTCGTTTCTGCGTTTGAAGTCAAGACAAATTACGTGCATTAATTAATTCTTAATTTGGATTTTTGTTGGATGCGAAAAACAAATCGACAATATGAAAGTGCGCTTCTTCGCTGAATGGAGAGAGGATCTGAATTGCTCGTGATAACTTCGATATTGGGAATTAAGTACTCAACTCAGTTCGATATAAATTTATTTTTTATATATATATATATAATTTTTATATGATCTCTCTTGATCGGATGGTTCGGAATATTTGTGCACGTTTGTATGTTTTCCTTTCATTTCACCACCAAATCATCATTCTCCTCTACCTTTAATTTTAACTTAAACTTCATATAATTAAGAGTCTATATCGAAATCCCGACAACCATAATCTCGACAGTATCAAAATCCCGACCATTTTAGCAATTCAACTTTGTTTTGCGTCTAATCAAAAACATAAAAGATGTTGTCGGGATTTTAACAGTGTCGGGATTTTGTTCCGAACCGTATAATTACACCTATTTCCATCTTCCAACATTAAATCCATTTCAAACTACAACTGCCACGTCTTCTCTACTCTTGCTCACATATTCATCTTTATTTTTCAGGTTGAAACTTGAACTTCATCACTAATATAACTTGTAAACTTTTCAACTACTAAACTACCTTCACTTGATTTCCAAATAACAAAAAGTTTATGATGAAATTCACTTAACAAAATTAATATAAACCAATTAACAAAAATTCAATTATAAATTAAGAACTTTACTAAATTATTAATAACGTGACTAATTTGTACAAATTGAAGGATTTTTCTTGATACAATTTTACTAATGTAGTTTGAACCGACCATCAAAGAGCGTTTCCTTATTTCTCTCTTTTAAAAAAAATAAATGGAATGTTAGATATGATTTACACCTATCTGCAACGCAATTTTAATTTGTTTATTCGTTGTCGTTAGGACTTTACCTGGAGATGCTGAACATATTCGACGAGGTGATTCTTCCGACCTTCAACATCCACCACGTACAATTCGTGATGTACTACATCTGCAGTCTGAAAAGCACGTTCTCTGAAGCCTTTTTGAACCATCTGTGGAAGAAAATTAACTCCACCGCTGTACCGACAATACTTAAGCAATCAGCAGTTTATTACATGGGAAGTCTCATTGCTAGAGCATCGTTCATTCCTTTAAGGTAATTGAGATTATTATTATATAATTAATTGATTACATGATTAATCTTTGTTTTGCAGTATGTTAAAAGGAACTTTGCAGCAATTCGCCGAATGGATACACGCTTATATCCTAAGGCAAGATGGTTTGGAGTTTGTGCATTGCGATATAAGGCATCACAGTTTGTTCTACTGCATTTGCCAAACGCTCTTTTACGTCGTCGCGTTCCGTCAAAAGGATTTAGTCAACACAAAGAAGAGTGAGTTTTTTTTTTAATTGTATAGCTTTCTCTTGATATTAATGTTATTTTTATTGCAGATATAACGTTTTTGGAGAGTCTGAATTTGGGCAAAATCGTCTTGTCTCGACTAAATCCATTGCGCGTCTGTCAACCAGCCGTTGTGCAGAATTTCGCTGCGGTTACCAGAACTTATCAATTGGCATATTGCTACACTGTAATGGAGCACAACGCTAGGAATACTATGCCTACAATTTACTTGGATGAGCACGGATCTGTCGTTCCCATGAAGAACGTGTTGGATTGTTTTTTCCCATTCGATCCTTACGTATTGAAAAGGTAATGTTAAGATCAATTTCACAAATTACAATTAACTAAATGTCTATATCTTCAGATCAAGTGAACGCGTTGCTCCGCATTACATTAAATATCAAGAACCAGACTGTGACGATATGTACGATGATGAGCAGAAGGAAACCGAAGAGGACGACTTCCTCAACGATTCGAGGATGTCTAAGAAGTTCTCCGAGTTCTCTTACGGGACTTCACCAGGCTTCAAGATGGCCGTTAGTTAGATTATTCGATTGTTTCGAGAAACAAATGTGTATTGATGATACTCAGTTATTATTTTCTGTACGTGTACAATCGATTGTATTATCATTTATTTTCGCAATTTTTTTTTATACAATAAACCATCGTTTTGCGTTTAATGTATGCTGTAAGTTGTGTTTAGTTTTAAATAAATCTATATTTTTTTATATATATATTTTAGACGCGTTTGTTCCTTATTTAAAATTAGAATATATGTAAATTTGGTTGCATAACGATTTTCACTTTTATTTATTTTATAAACAATAGTTTAGTTTTTACTTTAAGGTGTACTTAAATTCGAAACTAAGTGTTAAATAAATCTATATTTATATAAGCAAGACGTTTGTGCATTACTTCAAATGAAAATAGGTGCAAGTTTGGTTGCATGACAATTTTCAAACATTTCTTATTATTTTTTATAATTAAATTTGTTTCATGGAAAAATATTACAATAATAACTTTTGCCCAAACACTAGTACTTATTTCATTATTGTTTTCAGTAAATAAAGGTAAGTAAATATACAATATATAAATATTACTGTAAAATTCTTTATTTGAAGAAATTAGTAAAAATTAACATTTTCATTTTGTTTCATTCATCTATTTCTTAATATTTATTGCAACAAATGTATTAGAAACTTAATATAATAAGAAAAATAAAACTGCAAATGCTCTGTGTCTTATTTTGTGTAATTTGTTTAAATGTAAACGTAACGTAAGTAAACATATAATAAATAATTATTATAAATGTATATTTGTATATTTTCTTTGGATTTTGTTTAACAAAACAGCTTCAAAATTATCAAATTGTTTGTTTCTTTCAATCCACTATAGAAATAAGTGTTGCATATACATCTTCAAAATTGGTCTATTTCGCAAGCCCGAGAACCGAAATACCGTCTATTAAAATCCCGACGTTCGAAATCCCGACTGTATCGAAATCCCGACAACCATAATTCCGACTATATCAAAATCTCGACAACCATAATTTCGACTGTATTAGAATCTCGACAACCATAATCCCGACAAACATAATCCTGACTATATCAAAATCCCGACTATATCGAAAATTTTTACAATATCATTTTTAAATTATTTCGGAGCTTTGTCACGTTGTGGTACACTTTTATTAGTAATAACAATAAATTATTATTAATTTATTTGATTTTGTTGAATTATTCATAATAAGCCATAACATTATGAAGTAATGTCAAATACAATTAGATTATTAATTGTTATTATTTATTATTAATAACAATTTAAAAGTCACTACACTTTGGAATAATTTAAAAATGGTATTGTAGACATTTTCAA